AAATGAAATTAATAACCAAAATTTTAGGAAAATATTTGATCAAATTTTCAAAAGAAATGTATGTTTAGTCTAAAAAATTAAAAAACGAGACGCCTATATCAAAACGTCCAAATCTTAATTAAAAACACATGGGATTCGTATTATTCTCATTATGGCCTCTTGTCACACGACACCACGTGACCAGTTTTCCCCCCACTAATTGCAATTCTCGAGTGTTCGTGGGATTTAAGTATTTAATAGAAAATTAAGGTGGCAGATTTAGTGCGTTGCAGGCCACCAAGTCAAATAATCCCAGCAAGCAATATAAATCTGGTTAATCATAATTGGATGAAATTATTATTTAGCTAGATTTTGATCTAGTAAAAATATGATGGATTTGAGAGCTAAATAAATCAGATTGGTGTGTTATTATTTTTTTTTAATTTTTATCCAGAGGAATCATTCTAAAAGAATATGAAATTTATAGGATAAAATAAGCTCAAGCAATAAGAGCAGATGACATTTTACCGTAATGGCGGAAAACAATTTTGTGTATACACTCTAGTGCGAGTTCGATCTCCAATGATCCCCTTTTCTGGCCTTTTCCCCTCTCCTTCCTCCCCTCCTCTCTTAGTTTCCTCTTCTTCTTTCTCTCACTACAGAGAAGCTAAAACAAGATGATGATGCGGCTTAATCTTCAGCATTCAAATAGGAGGGGAGGAGAGGGGAGAACGAGAGGGGAGAGAATCTAGATCTATTTCGAATAATATGATCATATCTTATTTTAGGTTATCATTGAAAGAATAATGTGCAAATGAGAAATTTTATTTGGACCCATATAACCTCTTTTTACACTTAACTTACTTTCTACACCCATATTACTTTTAACTAATCTATCAATATCTCTTTAACCCAAATTTACAACCTAAAGTACTCTCACAAACTCAATTCAATACATAAATTTGTCTTTACACCCATTTATAAAATATAAATCCAAAATCGAGAACTATATAATACTTGAAATGAAACATTAAGAACTGTACCAAAGCATGTTGCAAAAAAGGACCCGCGATCACCCGTTGTGTTGATGACTTCATCAACTATTCTACCTTATCTGCTGAAGATCTGATGCGATGGTTTGTTAAGTATTTACACACTCAAGGGGGAGTGTTGCAGTCATATTTAGAATAAGAATGTAATTGTGTAAATCCTAATAGATATGGGAATGTATCTTATAATCCTATTAAGAGTAGATTACCTATTAAATGTTGTAATCCTAAAGGGAAAAGTTTTTACCTATCCTACTACTATAAATAAAGGCACAATGGGGTGAATCAAACACACCTCACAATTAAATCACTCTCTCTTCTCTCTAACCATAGACAGCCCCATCTCTCTCTCTAAACCCTAGATCGTTCAATCAAATAGGCCTACAAGACAATCAAATTTCTTTTTTTTCAATAATACAAACGGGAAATCGAACACAAAATCTCAAAAAAAATCTAAAAAAGGATGATTGTATTTGATAATTTTTAGTTCAATATTGGATTGGTAGTGGTAGATAGCAAATATTATAGAAGACAAATTAGAGAATGAGTGAGATGGATGTATAATATAGTGAAGTGATACGTCTACTATTTGTGATGGGATGTGCTTGTCTCTTTCCCTTTGCCAACGACAATGCAAAAAGGACTAATAATACACTGAAAAGATGTATGTCCTGTACTTAAAACTGAAATCTCTGTAGAGCTTAAAGATCAGATGATTTCGGTCGTTCAAGATAATGATTCAGATTCTTAGTTTATGTGAAGTAGGCCAATAAAATGGACAATAAAAAACACAAAATTTAAAATTTATACTTCGGATTACCTGGTCCGTTGGCTTCGTACACAAAAAGCCAAAGAGCTTCTTGATTCTTATCTCCCTCTTCTCCCACTTTCTCTCACCTCTCATGTGCAAAGCAAAACCCTAACTAGCCCTCCTCGCAATCACGTGCTTGGATTCCTAATTAAACACACTTGTAAGATAATTTGATTGGATTAATAGCAAACCACTCAGTCAAGTCACGAGGCTGCAAGCAAGCAAGGCATTATGTGTGTGGCTGACTAAACATAATTAAATAATATAATCAAAACCCAAATCTTAATTAAAAACACAAGGGATTCGTATTATTCTCATTATGGCCTCTTGTCACACGACACCACGTGACCGGTTTTCCCCCCACTAATTGCAATTCTCGAGTGTTAGTGGGATTTAAGTATTTAATAGAAAATTAAGGTGGCAGATTTAGTGGGTTGCTGGCCACCAAGTCAAACAATCCCACCAAGCAATATAAATCTGGTTGATTATAATTGGATGAAATTATTATTTAGCTAGATTATGATCTAGTAAAAATATGATGGATTTGAGAGCTAAATAAATCAGATTGGTGTGCTATTTTTTTTATTTTTAAAATTCTTATCCAGAGGAATCATTCTAAAAGAATATGAAATTTATAGGATGAAATAAGCTCAAGCAATAAGAGCAGATGACATTTTACCGTAATGGTGAAAAACAATTTTGTGTATACACTCTGATGCGAGTTCGATCTCCAATGATCCCCTTTTCTGGCCTTTTCCCCTCTCCTTCCTCCCCTCCTCTCTCAATTTCCTCTTCTTCTTTCTCTTTCTACAGAGAAGCTAAAACAAGATGATGATGCGGCTTAATCTTGAGCATTCAAATAAGAGGGGAGGAGAGGGAGAACGAGAGGGGAGAGAATCTAGATCTATTTCAAATAATATGAACATATCTTATTTTAGGTTATCATTGAAAGAATAATGTGCAAATGAGAAATTTTATTTGGACCCATATATCCTCTTTTTACACTCAACTTATTTTCTATACCCATATTACTTTTAACTAATCTATCAATATCTCTTTAACCCAAATTTACAACCTAAAGTACTTTCACAAACCCAATTCAATACGTAAATTTATCTTTACATCCATTTATAAAATATAAATCCAAAATCGAGAACCGTATGATACTTGAAATGAAGCATTAAGAACTGTACCGAAGCATGTTGCAAAGAAGGTAGATACCAAAGCAACAAGGTACAACAAAGAGGTGAACAATTGCAGGCCTTGATTATTAAATCATAGACTGATGCCAAGGAAATTAAAATTTCATGATATAGTCTCCATCTCCATCTCCATCTCCATCTCCATGTTCTTTATTTCTTTTTATGTTTTAAAATACAAAAAAAATTATTGTAAGTATTGGTTGTCATGATCACATTCTGATGAGAAAAATGGAGTATTGACTTAAGAATTTAATTCAATTGGAGTTTTGGTTTTTAATTTAAAAATTGGCGAGTCATGGTTCCAAACTTGTTATAGTGTAGATCAATGATCTTTTTGGATAACTCAGTTAAAACTTTTGTCTCTTATTTTTTTTTTTTTTCTCTTGTAACTCTTTATTTTAGCCAGAATGGACATAAGATAAAGATTGCGTGGTGGTAGAGATTGATTATTGAGTGTGGGTTTATTGATAAATTTTAGTTTCATTGTTAATTTCATCTTGTACTTCATAGTAATTATGCAATAGGATAAATTTGGGTGCAGAGGTGGTTATATGGGTTCAAATAAAATTTCTCTGTACAAATATTTCACTCAAATCGAAATTTGTTTAGTTATCTTATTGTGACTAGAGACGAACATAATTGTTGATAAACAATGAAATGTTCACAATAATAATAGAATGACTGAATGATTTTTTTGAGTTGATTAAATTTTTATAAAGATGTTATATGAATGATGACCTAAAAAATAAATTGATCGAATCGTGAAATTACTATGTGGTCCGAGTCCATACTAGTGTTTAGCGCTGTATTATGTGTGTATATGTATAAATGTGTATATACAGTATATGGATTACTGTATAATGCAGTATCTTACTGGAGCAGTACTTGAATGCAAACTCTATTGAGAACCATACATTTCTGTTCGAGTCCATATTTTTCTAATATAGATTTGGATCCAAATCTGAGCTCAGTTTTAACGTTAGGATTAGGATCTGCAATTTTACAGTAGATATGAATATTATTGCTTAAAATAATATGGACATGGAGCCAATATAAACAAGTATATAGTATTTCACCTTTCAGCTTTGTTTTTCATTTTACAGCTTTTGAAAAACTTTTAAATGGTGACTTTGGAATCGAAAACTTTCCAGATCTCTGTGTCCGTAGTCGTCGGTCCGACCATTCAATTTAAATTATTTGATACTCATTAATTCATTTCACAAGTTTATTTTATACAAAATCGAGTTTTTGAACGGTTCAGATTTCGAGATCCGTCGACTTCAGATAAAGAGATCTGAAAAGGATATCAATTCATGGTTGGATATAAACAATTTTACCATTTTGATACACAAAATTCACATGCTTGCCGACACACACGTAAATAAAAATAGGTTACATCTTTCTTTACAGAGAGTGTATATCAAGTTGCCAACAACTATGTCAATTTTTTGTGTCTGAATATCGTATTTTCAGTCCAATCGTTTTCTGAATTTCATGCAAAAAATCAAAGAATATGATGAAAAAAAGAAATACAAATCCAAGAGACAGTGAAAGATCATTGTCCATGTCCGATGCCCAAAAATATAAAAAAGGAAAAGTTCATCATAAAAAAACAAAGAAAAAAAATATATATAGAAAAACCTCACCCACCCATCTCTTTCTACCCCACCAATTGTTTTCAAAAAAAAAAAAAAAAAAGTTATCCCCTCCTCCTCTTCCCTCCACCTATATCCTTCCTTCAACTGTAAAACAAATAAAAAAATGCAGAAAAAAACAACCATCTAAAATTCCATTTCACTCTGCTCAAACATCATGGCCTGGCTGTTGCTCTTCTTGGATCCCGAGCTTTTGGGTCCTAAACCCTATTTAATATATAACATCCTAGCCCACCAACATGATTGGCTTCCTCTCCTTGTCCCTCCCTCCTAGGCAGCTGCTGCACCTCCTCCCCCTCCTCCTCCTCGGACTTCTCACCCCTTTCTTTCCGTAGCCTGCAGCCAGCTGTTTGTTGTAATGCCTGTTCATCCATGGACGACCCTCCTCTCCTCCTCCTTATTCATGTTGCTTCTCCTCTCTTTTTCTCTCGCCGCCTCGGCCTTGAACCCGCAAGGTCGAGCTTTGCTCTCGTGGAAGCAGAGTCTCAACGGCTCTGTTTCCACGAGTGCATTGGGAAATTGGGACCCGAATGACGAAGCGCCGTGCGGGTGGTTTGGGGTCACCTGCAACTCCAACGGCCAAGTTGTGGAGTTGAATTTGAAGTACCTTGATTTGCTGGGTCAGCTCCCTTGTAACTTCACCTCGTTGTCGACCATCACCAAGCTCACGCTCTCCGGCACCAACCTCACCGGCTCGATCCCGAAACAGATTTCCACTCTCAGAGACCTCACCGTACTGGACTTGAGCGACAATGCATTAACCGGCGAAATCCCAACCGAGATCTGCTCGCTGCCGAAGCTCGAGCAGCTTCACCTCAGCGCGAATCGATTGGAAGGCGAAATCCCAACCCAAATCGGCAACCTCACCAGCTTGAAATGGCTGGTTCTTTACGACAACCAGCTCAGCGGCAACATTCCGAAATCGATTGGCGATTTGCACAATCTTGAAGTGATCAGAGCCGGCGGGAACAAGAACCTCGAAGGCCCTGTGCCCCACGAGATTGGAAGCTGCAACAATTTGGTAATGCTGGGATTGGCAGAAACCAGCATTTCGGGCTTCCTCCCTCCATCTCTTGGCCTCCTCAAGAAACTCGAAACACTCGCAATCTACACCGCCTTGCTCTCAGGTCCGATCCCACCGGAGCTTGGAGACTGCTCCGAGCTCCGGGACATCTATTTGTATGAGAATTCGATAACGGGATCGGTCCCAAGCCAATTGGGGAAGTTAAACAACCTTCAGAACCTTCTTCTCTGGCAGAACAACTTGGTGGGAGTCATTCCGCCGGAGCTCGGCAACTGCCTGCAGCTATTAGTCATTGACATCTCGATGAACTCATTGACTGGAATCATTCCCCTGTCTTTCGGAAACTTGACTTCGCTTCAGGAGCTGCAGCTGAGCGTCAATCAAATATCGGGCGAGATTCCGGCGCAGCTCGGAAACTGCCGGAAACTGACGCACATCGAGCTCGACAATAACCAGATCACCGGTTCGATACCGGCGGAGTTCGGAAACTTGTCGAACCTTTCTCTTCTTTTCTTGTGGCAGAACAAGCTCGAAGGAAACGTTCCGCCTTCGATTTCCAACTGTGTGAACCTCGAGTCCGTTGATTTGTCACAGAACGGCTTGACGGGGCCGATTCCCGGAGGACTCTTCAATCTCCAGAATCTCACCAAGCTGCTGCTGCTATCTAACAACTTCTCCGGTGAAATTCCGTCGGAAATCGGAAACTGCTCGTCGCTGATTCGGTTTCGGGCCAGCGGCAACAAACTAGCGGGAGGGATTCCGCCGCAGATTGGGAATTTGAGAAACTTGAATTTCTTGGATCTTGGATCGAATCGGCTTAGTCGAACCATACCGGAGGAGATCTCCGGCTGCCGGAATCTGACGTTTCTGGATTTGCATTCCAATTCGATTGGGGGAGATTTGCCTGGAGGTTTTGATAAGCTTGTATATCTCCAATTCGTGGATTTCTCAGACAATTTGATCGAAGGGACGTTGAGACCTGGAATAGGATCACTGAGTTCACTCACCAAGCTCGTTTTGGGAAATAATCGGTTCGCGGGTGCGATTCCGAGTGAACTCGGTTCGTGCTCGAAGCTACAGTTGTTGGATTTGAGCGGGAACGAGCTGACAGGGAATATTCCGGCGAGCTTGGGCAAGATTCCCGCGCTGGAAATCGCTCTGAACCTGAGCTTGAACCAACTCTCCGGCGAGATACCGAAGGAGTTCGCCGATTTGGACAAGCTCGGGATTCTAGACGTCTCTCACAATCAGCTCTCCGGCGACCTCCAATTTCTTGCGGACATGCAAAATCTCGTGGTCCTCAATATCTCGCACAACAACTTCTCGGGGAGAGTCCCAGACACGCCTTTCTTTTCGAAGCTTCCACTGAGCGTCTTGTCCGGCAATCCCTCGCTCTGTCTCTCCGGAAACAACCAGTGCTCCGCCGCGAACAAAAATCCCAACGGATCCCGCCGCCGCAATGTAGCAGCGCGCGTGGCCATGGTGGTGCTACTGTGCACCGCGTGCACGCTTCTTCTCACGGCGTTCTACATTATCCTCGGAGCAAAGATGCGGGGCCCGGCCGGACTCTTCAGAGGGTCCCATGAGCCCGACCCGGAGGACGACAGCGAGTTAGACGTGGGCCCACCGTGGGAGGTTACGCTTTACCAGAAGCTCGATCTGTCGATTGTCGACGTGGCGCGAAGTTTAACTCCTTGCAACGTCATCGGACGGGGCCGCTCGGGCGTCGTTTATCAAGTCACCATCCCCTCAGGCTTATCCATAGCAGTAAAAAGATTCCGTCCGTCAGAGAAATACTCGGCCTCCGCATTTTCCTCGGAGATTGCCACGTTGGCAAGAATACGACACCGTAACATCGTACGGTTACTCGGTTGGGGCGCGAACCGGAGGACGAAGTTACTGTTTTACGACCATCTGGCCAACGGTAATCTGGGTTCGTTACTGCACGACGGGTGCGCAGGATTAGTGGAGTGGGACACCCGGTTCAGGATAGCGTCGGGCGTGGCGGAGGGGTTGGCATACTTGCACCACGATTGCCAGCCGGCTATCTTACACCGCGACGTGAAGGCGCAAAACATTCTGCTGGGGGATCGATACGAGGCCGTTTTGGCGGACTTTGGACTTGCTAGGCTGGTGGAGGATGATCCAAACGGTCCATTTTCAGCCAACCCCCAATTTGCCGGGTCCTACGGCTACATTGCGCCGGGTAAAGTTTAAAAAACAATTAATTTCGTTTTAGTTGTCTTAATCATGGGTTTTACTTTTAACCATCATTGTCTTTGCTCAGTCATTATACCCGTTATGAATGACTTCTGATTGTGGTAATTAGACTTTTAATTAAGCATGTTTAGGAAAAGAACTTAGTCTAAACACATCAAATTTAGCTTGTAGACAGTAATTTGACATCAATTAGTGATTACCATTAGACTTTTGGTTCAATTATGAGTTTGATTAGGTGACTTTAGATGAATATGATGGAATTGATGTGAGTATGACAGATGTTAATCATGTCTAGCAGGAAGAGAACCTCCGCCATTACCAAATTTTCATCCAATTAGATGTACTCGGAAAATTTTCTCGCTATCAGTATCACTCACATCATATGATAAGATATAGATAGAAAGAGAGCGCTGTATCTGGGATGGAAAGCTAGAATCCACTAAGTGGGACTCAAGATGGGCAAGTAGTAGTACAGCTTTAGTAGACGGACCCTTCTAATTGTAGCTTTTCTTGTTGCTTAGTATTTGTTTAGTTAAATCACCATATGGTCCAGATGCTGTTGGGGTTATTGGAAAAAGGGACTTTAAACCGTGTGACATGACATGTCTTTCACCTTGCGATATCAAGTGTCCAAAACATCACATTCTTGGTGCTAGCTAACATCAAAAGATGCTTACTTTTTGAGCAATATTTGCATGGTTTTCATTTCATCTTTTTGCATTTGTCTTCCTCTCAGAAAACCGAAAATTTTACGGTGCTTCTGAGTGTCGTGTTTTTAAAAAAATTAATTATTGAGTCTCGGGTATTGTATTTTTGTGAAAAATCTAACGGTTAAAACTCCTGATATATAGAATTCATCGGTATATATCAGAAAATCTCCTTAAAAACTTGCATAGTTTTCCACAACACCAGAGCTGATAATTCAGTTGTTATCTGCAGAATATGCCTGCATGCTAAAAATCACTGCAAAAAGCGATGTGTATAGTTATGGGGTTGTCCTTTTGGAGATCATAACTGGGAAAAGGCCAGTGGACCCATCATTCACAGATGGGCAACATGTGATTCAGTGGGTCCGAGACCACCTGAAGAGCAAGAAGGACCCTGTTGAGATTCTTGATCCTAAACTTCAAGGTTATCCAGACACACAGATACAAGAAATGCTCCAAGCTCTTGGAATCTCACTCCTCTGCACCAGCAACCGGGCGGAGGATCGTCCCACGATGAAGGACGTGGCGGCATTGTTGAGAGAAATTCGACACGATCAGGGCCCGGTGGCAAGCGAGGTGCATAAGCCGGCTACCAACGCCTTGAAGAATTCATCGTCTTCTGTGACACCGGCTCAGTTGCTTCAGCTGCAAGGCTCCTCTCGTTGCTCACTTGCTTACTCATCTGCTTCAGCTGGTTATCTGTCAGGAACTCAATAACAATAATGTCATATGTTGTATTAGTTGAAAACATATAATTATTTGTTAGGAATTAGGATTAGTTGTGAGATTATTTGTAGGATTAGGGCAACATAATATGGGCATTGCCAAAGAGTGCTTAATTTGCAAGAGTGATATGGATTAATTGATATCACAAGTTGAGCACAGTGATTGTACAGCAACTTGACATTATTGTACTAATTAGTGAGTAATGAATGAGAGGCCAGCCATCAATTTCTTGAATTTCAATTTACTTTCACATCTTATTAATGTTACGGATAATGAGTTGCAATCCACATACAGCATGCGTACGAACGGTTGTTAATGATTTTTATTAGCTCGTAAGTCTTTTCAAATATCAGTTAATCACATGCATTATCCTTGAAAATGACGCTTAATTCAATTTGTCGGGCTATGGAACAAACTCCCATGCCATTGGCCTGATTCTTTTCTTTAATAAACGACAAATTTCAATACAGTATCAACACTATGTCAATGTTACTATGACCAACATAACGTACAGACATGATATCGAAGCAATTTCAACAACATCGATGCACATTCATTCTCTAGAGTAAAGAACAAACGTCATACATAGAGAAATTCTATAATTCGATAATATGAGAGAGAGAGAGAGAGAGAGAGAGAGAGAGAAGGGGGACAACAAAACTACTTCTATTGCTTGAATGTGAAGTCATTTTCCATAATTTGTTTCTCAAAAATGCGTGTGTTGTGTGCATGCAGATTGCAGATACAATGTCTTATTTTTCTCTTCTCGGGGATGTGAAGGTGGGCGAGAGAAAGGTAGGGGATTTATGTGTGGTGGGGAAATGTGGGCAGCTATTATAATTTGAGAAGCCAACCTCCTTATCTTTCCCACAGTCGCTGTTTTAAAGATAATCAGCAGCATCAAGGCCCACCATGTGATAGTATTGGACACAAGAATTTATCTTAATCAGAATGAACAAATAATATCTAAATCTTTTTATGAAATCATGGTTGTAGCTACATTGTTTAGAACGGATGCACTCGAGTTTGAATTGTAAAGAACTTCATCTTAGAAGTTTACTAAAGATTGCATTTACTAATACAGAGTCGGGTTATTTCTCATACCGTCAATTAATTTTATAGGAGAATTTAAATTTGTTCATGGTATTATAGTAAGTTAATCCATGTGTGAAGCCTAGGCTTACAAGTGCTCTACGTCATCCGATTTGTTTTGTTTATATGTAAGAACGGAAAATTCCTCACACCTTATCACACGTATGTGGCCGTTTTAGGATTTGAAGAAATGTCTAACATTGAGTTGAGCCAAACTTGTATGTCCTTATAACGAGTTGGGTTAGTCTATATATTGACAATTGGTTTTATGATAAATCATTCATGTAGTTTGGATTAGTATAAAATAAAATGTTGCTTGTATGAAAACAATATTGTATCATAAGAGTATTTATTCTGTATTTCAGCTTTAATTTATGGCTAGCTACATTTTATACCTTTCAAGTTTGAGGTGACTTTTGAGGTTTCATTTTCTCAATATCGCACCCTTAAGTTTTGAAATTGTATCCGTTTACACCTTTTGTCTCTTTAAACATCTAACCATCTATTAAACTGATGAGTATTTTTGTCAATACAATGCAAATTTGTCTTACATGTTAACTTATATAAGAATCTCAAGCTTACCAAATCATCAGTTTAATGAATTATCATATAATAAATCCGACCGAACACACATATTAAAACAATTTTAACACCTCCAATATAAAAAAATTAAAAAGTTATAATCCGTTTTAAAAATCACTCCAAACCTAAAAACCTAAAAGTTATAGAATGAAAATATTTAGCAGTATCTTCCATACTGGTGCAGAAAGGTAGACAGCAAAGAAAAGAAAAGGATACCTGTCTGGTGATCCTTTGCTCGCTTGAGCTCACGTGATACACGTGCTAGCATGTGAGATGAGAGATCTGAGATCTCTTATTTTCTTGGCGTTGATATTACTTTTTTTTTTTTCAAAAGCACACATCAAAGATTCCCAGTGTAGATCATGAGGGACTTGTATGGCTGTATATGCAGCAGTTTGCAACGTTGTAGGGTCCACTGTTCATGATCTAACGGCTATATGATGCTCAAAGGCCTAAGGAAACCAAGGCAGGCGTGGAGCCCAGTTTTTGTTATTCACATTCTTAGTTACTATTACAGATGGAAATGTTAGGTCAGTCGCAAATGCGTTTGCACGGGTTGATTATGGCCGTTCATACTTTTTGATCTAGTTAGTTTTCAGTCACTTATGTTTGTAAGACGCATAAAATATGAACGGCTAGTTCAATTCATGGGCACGTGAACGATTAATCCTAACACTTCTTTATCATGTCAATATTTGGCACTTGATCTACAAGGTAAGTGAGACATCTCATATGTTATTCCTTTGATCATACTTGTATGCAAATTTAAAGAAAATGTATGCCTCCATCACCAAGTATTAAGTCTACCTTATTTTTTTTTTAAATAATAATTTGATTTGTGACTTTCAATTTGTTGGGAGGGAGAAAGGGTACATCTGAAAATTTAAGACCCAAAAGAGACGTTGTCTTTGTTAATGTGAGAGTTTAGTTTTCTTTGGTAGAAGGTCACTAAAGTAGGGTTTATTTGGAACTACCTTTAAAATAGTTAAAAACGTTTTTTTGTAAAAATATTTTTGAAATTAAATTTTAATAAAAAATCCAAATGAATTTTAGAAAAACACTTAAAAGTGCACCCTACAAAAAACACATAACTGGTGCTTCTTACAGAAAACACTTATTTTTAAAACCCATTTTTAAAAATAAAAAAAAAAAACCACTTTCAGTCATTTTAAAATCACTCTCAAATGAGGCTATAATTGTTATTTATCAGACAAAGATTGCAGAACAATAACCAATTCGGTAGTCTAATTTACTTTCATCCAAATATTTATACAATAAACAAAATATGACCTCAAAGTTAATATTTATTACATTAATATGACAATTCTTCCTCATCAAAGTATAACCTCAAAGCTGAATATTTACCTAGGCTGCTAAAGTATCTAAAAGCTCAAAAAGAATTGGTTGTAATTCTCAATCGTAGAGATCATCTTCCTCTCCAGCAACTGTGGCTGAAGAAAATGGGGTTGGAGCTGCTTCTCCTCCATTGTTCTCTGTCTGTGGAAATCGAAATTCGGATCCAAACCCTCGAGATTGCTGCAAAGTCTGAGCAAACACCTGGTACTTCATGATGTCTGCATCACTCACACTTCTTCGGGCATGTTTCATCGATTCCTCAAAGTGCACTGGCTTGATCTCGGGTCCCTTATCAGTTTCATCTTCCTCCATGGCTTCGGAGTTCTCGTTCTTTCTTCTTTGCCTCTCAATATCCTATAAATGTTTAAAAAGAGGAAAAGATTAGCATAATTTTCACGAGTGTTGTGATTTTCATGTGATTTATAAAAGAAATTTAGAATCAACTTCAACCAGCATCTATGGATCATGTTTATGCTGCGATTAGGTTTCTTGTGTGTCAAGGAATGTTAAGGAAATTTTGTATTAGAAAACGAAAAAAATCTATAAGGAGCATAAATTTTCTTCTGCAATTAGGCTTCTTGCTTGTGCTGCAAATAATTGCTTAATTAACTCAAGTGGGAGAAAACCTCTTACCTTCTCAATGTCTTCTCTGATGGCATATTTGCAGGCACGTTGACATATCTCGATGATATCTGCACCACTAAAACCGCGCGTATAACGGGCAAGAGCTGCTAGGTCAATATCCTTAGAGATGGGTGACTTGCGCAGACATGCTTTAAAAATCTGAAGGCGCGAAGCCTCATCTGGGAGCGGGATGTAGATAAGTTGGTCAAGACGTCCAGGCCTGAGCAATGCCGGGTCAATAATGTCTGGCCTGTTTGTCGCCCCAATGACAAAGACGGTTTTCTTTGCATTCATTCCATCCATTTCGGTTAGAAGTTGGTTCAAGACTCTGTCTCCGGCACCACCAGCATCCCCCACAGAATTGCCACGCTGATAGAGGAGGGGGTTTGTGAGTTAGTTCAAAGTGCAAAATAGTTAACCTCAAAAGAAACAAGTAAATTAACCCGTAAACAGAATTTAGAATGTGATTGAAGGGAACAAAAATATAATCGTAAGTACCTGAGTTGCAATTGAGTCTAGCTCATCAAAGAAAAGAACACAAGGAGCGGATTGGCGAGCCTTGTCAAATATCTCGCGCACATTTGCCTCACTTTCTCCGAACCACATTGTTAGCAGCTCAGGTCCTTTGATACTGATGAAGTTGGCTTGACATTCATTGGCAATTGCCTTGGCGAGAAGGGTTTTCCCACAGCCAGGTGGTCCATAAAAGAGAACGCCTTTAGAAGGTGACATCCCAAATTTCTCAAACATCTCTGGATGCTCCACGGGGAGTTTAATAGTCTGCCAGAGGTAAAGTAATTAGTATAAATTTGGTCCAAAAATATTACGTATTGAAGAGGAAGATGAATCGAATCACAAACCTCTTGAAGTTCTCTTTTGACGTTCTCCAACCCGCCAATGGCATCCCACGAAACATTAGGTACGTCCACAACCTGTAAACAAAGAAAACAAGTTATCATTCTCAAGTCCAAAGATATTCTAACTCTCTGAGTAGCAACTTCTAAAAAACAAGTAAAGCTTGCTACCCCAAAACTTCAAAAAAAAAAAAAAGTGTTAAAACTTACAGTTTCGCGCAAGGCAGAAGGATTTGTAGAGGACAGTGCGGTCTGGAAGTGTTCATTCGTCACAGCCATCGAATTCAACACCTCAGCATCAATCGTATCGTCTTCCAAGTCAATAACATCCATTTTTTCACGGATGCACTGGAGCGCAGCCTCTGTGGAGAGAGCGGCAAGATCTGCACCAACAAAACCATGGGTATCTTTTGCAACTCGTTCGAGATCAACCTGTAATAGTAGCAAAACACCAAGTAATTAACATAATTTATCGCAATGCAGGATAAACGATATGAAAATTTGAGGATAGAAGATCTTACATCATCTGCAAGTTTCATCCTCTTTGTATGGATTCGCAAAACTTCCAATCTTCCAACTTCATCCGGGACACCAATGTCAATCTCTCTATCGAATCTTCCAAATCTCCTTAGAGCAGGGTCGATGCTGTTTGGCCTATTCGTTGCTCCCATTACAATGACATGCGCACGGGACTTAAGGCCGTCCATTAAAGTCAGGAGCTGGGAA